AGTCTGCTTGGTGGGTTGAGGCGTTTCTAGCTGTTGTTTGTTTGTACGCTGCACGATCGCAAGCATATACACTTTCTTATGTATATACCACAGCTCTATATACTTGTATATACGTGTGTACATATGTAGAAATATGTAGTTTTTTCTTTTCCTCTTTCTTTCACATTTGTGTTGAGGATAAACAAATGGTGCTACATTTTCTTGAACTTAATTTGATTTCTAACCGGTTGTGGGTTCACATGAATTATTTATTACACTGTGTGGGTGTGAAATAGTGGCGGTGTTTTCGGTATTTTCAATGGGTTTCCATACATGATTCCTCCAAATGTTTTGAGTTTTCTACACCGTTTCGTTTTTGTTTTGCAATAAACATGTGATCTGACTATTTGTTTTTTAACTTAATTTTTATTTTTCTGTGCTTTAATTGCGGTTTAAATGCGGTAACGCTGCAAAATAAAAACGTGACGTGTTAATTGGCAGTTGATTACAACAACAACGTTAGTTTAATTTGAGACGCAATCGATCTTGTTCAACGTTTAAATTAATTTCTTTTTTGCTCAAACATCATTTATAAAATGTTAGAACTTAATCATTTTGCGTAAGATCTTCAGCTTCGTATAAAAGTTCAAGTTCAAAAGTTTATATTATCGTTTTTAAAAAATGTTGTGCAGCAAATTTGCAAGTCATTTACATAAATATTTGATCTACAGTTATCAATCTCGCATTTTTCTCCGCATTCCATCTCCTGACGTTTAATAGTCTGGTTAGGGTTGATGTTGTGTAATTTAGCAAACGCAGTGACTTCCAAAAATTGGGTTTTCTTCTGAAATAAGAAAAATTAGTGCTCAGTATAAGAAACGTTTTGAAGCAGCCTTTTTAACGAAGCGACCTGAAGGTCCCAAATAGACTATTAAAAAAGCTGCAATGCTTTTAAATACGAGTTAAACTTTTGTGAAGAGGTGGTCTGATCATTATGAAGAAACTGGAAACGTAAATGTCAAGCTAAGAAGAGAGAGGAATCACGTGACACTTAAAAGTGAGGACAAAGCTATTGTTCTCCTTTTGGAAAAGAAACCACTGCTCAGTTTAAGAGAAGCTAAAAAATAATTTGTTTAAAAAAGGAAAAAGGGATTAGATATATCTCTAAATACAATAAAGATCAGATATTAGAGATCTGTAATCAAACCCCTTCTTTCCGAAAATCACATTGAAAAAAGTTGGCATTTGGCTCAGGAAAAACAGCAATGTAATATTATATTTACAAGAAAACATTAAACGAATAATGTGGAATATGCGGAAATTTAGTTGCAAGTTGCCATCAAAGATGTCAGGCTATAATAGACAACATGGGAGATAGGAGCAAGTATTGAATAAACATCAGTTATAACAAAACAATGTATTTTTCATAATAACAACATTTTTCCCAATAAACGCTGTCCCAACACTTTTTAGAATTTCCTAAGAAAGTTTTGAAAAATTCTGTCAGCGTTGTTAAGCTGGGAAGCTACATTCTCTCTGGTGAGCATAGGCAATATTATATTTTTAAAAAAGTTAGGGATCTTTACTAGATAGAAAATTCCTTACACAGACTGCGATTGATTATAGTCCCAAATGGTATACACATATGCAGTACCTAGGGGCTTGAACAGTTTTGATTCAAATTAGATAATTTTTGGTCACAAGGTGGCATACTTTAAACGTATTATTCACGCAAAGTTTTACCCCGATATAATCATTGTTGCTTGATGTGCATAGTGGAAACTGAAAGAATCAAATGGAATTTAAAATGGTGTTATATGGGAAATAGGCGTGGTTGTAGTCCGATTTCGCGCACTATAACATACAAATGTGTGAAGAATATTATGTACCGAATTTGGTTGAAATCGGTTAAACAGATCCCAAGATTAGGTTTTCTCCTAAAAGTGGGCGGTGTCACGCCTACTATCTAATTTTGAACGTGGTTCCTATAAAATCATCTTACACCATCCCAGAGATAAAATTTAATGTCTCTGGCGTGTTTAGTGCTTAATTTATCGCGCTTTTAGTAGTTTTTAATAGTACCGCTATATGGGGAGTGGGCGGGGTTGTCACCCATTTTCACACCGTCGATAGAGATGCTAAAAACATTTGTTCCCAGTGAATTTTGTTATTATAGCTTCAGTGGTATAGGAGATATGCACATTATTATTTTGGCGAGACCACGCCCACTTTAAAAAAAAATTTAAACTGCAGATGCCCCTTCCTAATGTGATCCTGTATACCAATTAAGAGTCTTGTATCTTGTTGTGGAGCTTATTTATGGCAATTTATTTGTTTTTGATTAATGGCGTTTTGTAGGCGTGGCAGTGGTCCGATTACGCCCATCTGCAATACCAACCGTCTCACGGTACCAAGAAACATGCCTAACAAGTTTCATAAATATATCTAAATTTTTACTCAAGTTTCAGCTTGCACGGACGGACGGACAGACGGACGGACAGACAGTCACCCGGATTTCAACTCGTCTCTTCATCCTGATCATTTATATATATATATAACTCTATATCTAACTCGATTAGTTTTAGGTGAGACAAACAACCGTTAGGTGAACAAAATTATTATACTCTGTAGCAACAAGTTGCGAGAGCATAAAACAATTATCCAAGACTAATTCAACACCTTTATATAACTTTTTGAATTATTCGATTCCGCTCGGCCGGGCTGCAAAACAATATGCAATGTAGGCGTTATTGGGCAACGGGAGGGGAGTTAATGTCATGAAAAAGCTGTGCTGCTCACTCGTCCAGCTGGCTCCCTACGAAGTTAAGTTATTAAATGTTTGATATTCACATCTCATCGTCTATATGTGGTCCTTTTCGTCCAAGTGGGATGGCAAATGGAGTGATCTGCTAGTATGTAATATAAATGATCAGCGTGTCTAGCTGAGTTGATTTAGTCATTGCCGTCGTGTGTAATGTCTGTCGGTCTGTATATATGCGAACTAGTCCTGTTGAAATGTCGATCTAAAATTATGCAAACGCTCTTTTGCCGCCTGCCATACAATCTGATCAATCAAACTCAAGTTCTTGTATGGAAAATTTTTTTGTTAGAAAAGATATATTCTTGAAATTTGGCATACCATATATTATTGTCGAAGACAGCGCTTCAATCTCGAACAACTGATGCATCAAAATCAAGATAAAGATCTTTTTATACTCTTCTATGCTAAAAGAAATACTCCTGTTAAAGGTGCTATAGCTTCGGTGCTGTCGAAGTGAACGTTTTGTCTTTTCTTTGAATACGCAAAATTTCATTTATACGCCAATGTAAGAGATGTTCAGGACTTTGTCAATAGATTTTATGGAGTCGGTTCTTAGTAAAAACTAAATAGAATACAGTGATTTCATGGCTCTTTTAATTCAAGTTTCAGTGGATTTCACATCTCAAAATGATTACAAAATCCCTTGTATACATAGTCTACGTTGTCTGACAAATAGCGGACTTACCAATAAAATCAACTAAAAATATATTTTGATTGAAGGAAACGAAACCGGTACCACGACCCCCGGCGCAAAGTCTTGTTAAAGTTTGTCGTTAAAGAAAAAATTTCAATTAAATTATTACTTTACTAAAAGTTAAACTCACACAAAGAGAACAATTTTTCAAACCCGACTGTAGAGCTATTTACTTTGCCAACGCCAATTTCGACCCAGTAAGGCAAGATACAGTCAAAGTAGCTATAAACCGTTCAGATTGCTGATTCTAGATGTTTTCTTTTAATTGGTACGATCTTTCATAAGATACAATATTTTGTGCATACTGACTACTAATGGCTAGCTTTCGAATTTTGAGCTATATATGTTTAGAAAAAGCGCCGAATAGCCAACTAATTCTATACTTTTTTATTGAAACCAACTCATCGAATATCGTAAATCACAAAATGTTCCTCTTGTAGTGTCTAGGTACAGTGAATAATTTATCTAGTCTACCTTTAGGTCAGGTATAAATCGTGAAGCTTTCGATATGCTTTTTGCGGTAATTTATTGTCATCCATTAAGTCTTTCCATAATTGCTCTTTTAACTACGATCGCTGTTTTTCGATTAAAAATATATCGCTTTTATAATGATCAATCATTGTATCGATTATTTATCACATCGCCAGTTAGCATGCTCAATTTCTTTTTTTTTACAAAGACAATATCGATATGATAATTTATATTGCAGCGTCAACTAGCCTTAAGCTTTGCTGATTATCTAATCTATTTGACAAAAATTTATTAAATCATTTATTATATAAAGCACACAATTCTTTATCAATGTAACAACAAACAATTTCGAAAAAATGCGGGTGGAAACTTTTTCGTAAACAAAAACAAAAAAGAAATTAGACAAAACTTCTAAACTGCACGAAAAAGCTCTTCTAATCAAATCGCGAATACTCAAATTTTCAAAAAATATGTATTTCGAAACTGTATCTACGAGTAATTTCGAAATTCTAATACCATTTCTTATTTTACGAAGACACAGATTGAGCGCAGAAAAAAGTGCAGAACACAAAAAGCGTAGGCGGGCAACTGCAACTTTTCTTATCTAAGAAAGCTGCATAGGTGAGTAAATTGGTATGATTTGTTGCTAGCGCGTTGTAGTTCATTTAAAAATATGTAACGGTTCGGTACGAAACAAGCGAGCGAAAGTGGTTTCGAAAATGCTACGCAAACATACCTACAAATATGTGTGCATGCATGCCTAAAGTTTTAAAATTGTTACGAATGCGTTTCGTGAGTACGCGAGCGGACATTCGAGTTTCGCGTGAGAGATTTCATAATATGCTTTTTCTTATTTGTGAAAATATGCTTGTTTGTTTGTGAAAATGTGTTTTTTCAAATACTTCCACTGCGTGCTATAAGTTTTGCTTAAATTCTGAAAATGCTGTTAATTTGAAAAATTCATTTTCGAAATTCGTGAATGAAATTATACTGAATGAAATTTATAGGTTTTAAACATTTTATTTATGTGCCTGCATTAATTCGTATTTTTTTTAGTTTACAGGTGCTTTATTTTGTTTTAATACATTTTATATTTTTTTATTTTTCGTCTGTAGCTGATTTTCATTGACAACTTTTCTTGTGCATTTTGTTCGTGCTTTCGTTAGTTTTCCTTCACTTTCCGTTCTGCTTTTAGCTTTTTATGTATCACACTGTTTCGAAAATCACATACGCATTTTCGTACACAAATATGTGCCGTTTTCGCGCTCCTCCATTCGAAAGTTTAGTTCCTTGTGATCACGCGTTCGCTCTCGTTCACGCTTCCTCTCTTGCTAAAGCGCGCTCATAACTTTTTGTACACATTTAGCACGCGTTTTTTGTGTATGTATATTCGAGAATTTCCTCACCTCAAAACACTTTTGCCAGCATCGTAAGGTATGTGACTCTTTCCTTTTTTTTTAATTCTATTTCAATTTTGATTTTCAATTTATTTTTCGAAAAAGAAAAGCGTTTTTTCGAGCATCTCTTCTAGAGCTGGGATATGCGAAAAGCGTTTTTGATTTGGAAAATCACGTCAGTGGTCTCTGCGGAGGTTTCACGTTAGAACGTACATTTCGGACAGAAGAAAGCAACGCGCGTAAAGATCTTGTGTGAACCAAGTGAAAGATGAAAACTTTTAGAAAATATGTTTGTCCTGAAATTTGTTGAAGAAAAGTGAAAAGCGAATAATAGGAGTGTGAACGAAACTTGGGAGTTGAATTAAATTTTAAAATTCTCAAATTTTGTGTTTTGTTTAAAGCGAAAAAGAATTAAACAAAACTAAATGCGTGTAATGAGTGAGCGTGTTTTCGTGTGAAATTTGAAGTGTTTTTGAAAAACCAAAAAATTGAACGCCTGTTTCGAACGTCTGGTGGTTGATTTGCTTGCGATTGAAGTTAATTAAATTCAAGCTGTTTGATTTTTGAATAACAAAAAATTGAAATAAAAACGAAGGACGCTAAATAAACGAAACGAATATAAAATAAAATTTATAAACTTTAATATTCAGGCTTAAATTTATAATATTTATAAAACGATGCGCACAAAACGAAGAATTTAAAACGAAATAATATTAAAACAAAAATAATATTCAAATAAAATAAAAAATAATTAATTTTGAACAAAATAATTTAAGAAAACAATTATTATTATTGCATTCTTGGGAAATATAATATTATATTTATTTATTAAGTGAAAACGTGTCAGAAACATAAATAAAATCTAAAAAAAATATTTGAGATGAAAATGCTTTTTCGGAGCATTTTGTAAAAAAAAAAAAATTTCACGAACGAAACTCAACGCATCACAACTTCAAACTACTCTCCACTGGAGAGTCCTTTTTAAAGTGCGTGTGTATAAAATGCCGCAAATCAAAAATTTCAAGCAATAAACAGCTGTTTTATTGATTTTAAAACTCGAAATTCGAGTGAAGTGAGTGGCCGATAGGAAAATGCTACATTTTGAAAATTTAAATGCAATAATCATTCCATTAAGAACGAAAAGTTACTATTACGATTATTATTTCGCGAAAGTTGGCAACCATTACAATTACTATGGTTATACAGATCGTTAAGAGGGCGTGAATGGTTCAAACAGTCTAAAACAGAGGTGAGAAGCTGAAAAATCGTGAAACGGAACAGCAGCGACAGAGAAGAAAAGAAAAACAAAAACTAAGGACAAAATAAAAACTAAATAAATATATCAACAAAAAAAAAGATTATTAATAAAAATAATTTATTTCTTTGAAAGCTTCAAAAATATAATTTTGAAGACAAATACAAATATCAAACAACTTTTAAAAATACATAAAATAACTGTAAATTTGAGAGCAATACTGACTGCTCTAAAAAAAATCGGAACGAAATAAAAACCTAAAAAAAAGAAAACTCTTTTCATTACAAAGTTTACGGCAGTGTTTTGAATTTTATTTGCCTATTGTTGTTGTTGTCTAATTCAACAACTGTCCTGCATTTTCTTTTGAAAGTTTCCGTCCCCAACAAATGCAGTCAGTGCGGCCATTGAGCGGGCTGTGATCCGTCGTCGACGTCGTCGCTTCGACTGTGGCTGCGTTTTCGTGTGGGCCTTCGTGGCGATCATGCGGGTCATTGCTGATACGGATGAACCACCAGCGAAATGTTGCAGATATTGTGAGGGTGAGCGGTTTGTTTGGGTTTTGAGCGTGAAAAACAAAAATCTAACTAACGGTTATATTTTCTGGAAAGTGTGAAACATTAAACTGTTTTTAAAATTGTTAGAAGGAAAAAGAAAAATGAAAACTGTGGCATTTTGAAATACTTGAAAAATTGTTAGCAGCGAGTTGGTTTTTGTTCAATTTTGGAAGAAAGTCTTTTGATATCTTTGGTTATATACATATGTAATCCATTTAATGTGATTTTGGAAAACTTGATATTTCTAATACAAATAAGTTTAAAGCTTTTTCTGTGAAAAAGTTGAAAAACATAGATTTATTTAGAGATTATTTTTTTTGAATGTATTAAATAAAATATTTTGTGAAAATTATTCAAAGCCTGTGCTTACCTCTTTTCGGAATCAATTAAATTTTATTTAGGTTTGAAGCATTCATAACGGTTAGCAAAAAAGTATATTTATGTATAGAAGAAGTAGGTACAATGGTGGACAGAAAGAGGTTTGGATTTTTGAAATTAGCCCAACACAAAGTAATAATGACAAATAAATTCATATTCCGCTTAAAATGTGTTAAAAAGGTTGGAATTTGTGGGTTTATAACTATGCCAAGAGATGGCGTAACTTGACTATGACTCTAATGTTCCGAACATGAGTTGAAAAGCTACTACTGTAGTTATACGCCTGTTCAGTATATGTCATTCATGTAAAGCATAAACACAATATTTTTTCACTCAAATATATCAAATATATGAAAACGGTTTTAGCGCGGAGTTCTTCTTCTTTAATATGAAGAAAATGTCAGCCGAAAGGCATCGTGTTTTGTTGAAAGTTTGCCCGATCTAAAAGTCAAAAAAGCAAAAAAGAGCTTGATGATCAGGAACTGGAAGCATTTCTCGATAAAGGTTATTGCCAAACACAAGAAGAGCTCGCTGAATCACTCAAGCAGCCATATCAAAACGTTGAAAAGCAGTCGGATATATTCAAAAGCAAGCCAATTGAGTGTCATACAAATTGAAGCTAGGAAACGTTGAAAAACGAAACATCATATGTGAAACATGGCCAACCAGCCGAATCAACGGCAAGGCCAAATATCGCTGACGCCAAAGTAAAACTCTGTATTTGTGGCATCAGAAGGGCGTGCTGTATTATGAGCTTCTTAAGGGCTTACACGGGTTTCGTCGAGCAAAAAACGCTCTATTTTCATTAATTTTTATTTTCATATAAAAAATGAAATATTTTATTCAAACTTTTTATTATTTCGAAGATACATATCTGATAAAGATTTTGTGAAATTTTCAAAGGAAAATATTCAAAACTCGGTCATTACGACGTCGTTTCCGGCAGTCCCTCGGAAAAGAGGTGTTTCCGCGTTGACAGCAGAACTGCTGACAGGATCATCAAAAATAAAAAGAAAAACGTATGTGTTTGAACTAAGACCATTGTACAAAAAATGTTATTTTTGGCAGACGTTAAAAAAAACCCAAATTTTGGTGAACATTTCTCGACATGTTTTGTTTTTTGAAATAATTGTTATAGAACAAAAAAAAATCCTTCGTGCACTCAAAGACCTGTATATAATTTCTTTAAGATCGGCTGAGTAGTTCGTGAGAAATTTCGACAACCGACTTTGAAAATACAGTTTCGAGAAAAACGCGTTTAAAGTTTTAAGTGACCTGAACTCGAGCGTGCAACGTTTCAAAGCTGTATCTCCAAAATAATGACTGGTATCAACTTGAGAATTTAGGACAATATTCTAAAAATGTTATAGATTTAAATAAGACAATGAATTTTTTTTTTGTTTTTTGAAGCCGCGAAACTCTGTGATTCCTTAAACTGATTGAAACTATTAATGCGGAATGCTACCGTCAACAACTCACCAAATTGAAGCGAGAGATTGCCGAAAAACGCTCGTAACTCGCGACTAGAAATGTTACAGTAATTTTCCATCAAGACAACGGTCGCCCTCATGTTGCAAAACTATTTCAAAACAGCAGCAGTTTGGCTCTAACCTTACTCCTTCTGACTACCATTTGTTCTGGTCGATGCAGAACCCCCTCACTGTAATACGGTTCACATTAGAACAGGGTATCTAAAATTGGCTTGATTCTTTCTTGGCCGCAAAGCCGACGCAATTCGTTTGGAATGGAATCCACAAATTGCCAGAAATTTTAAATAATATTATTGTAAATTTTTTCTTACATAAATGCTAAAGTTTTGAAGAAAAAAACCGCACGAATAAACCAACACAAGGGAGGCTAAAAATTCTCTTTGCCAGGGAATTTTTAAGGCTTGCTAGATTACATCAACCGTGTTTAGAAAATTGTGAATTTGAAATGATGAATTAAAAAAATTTACTCCAGTTAATCGCGTTTATCATATACAAAATTTGATGGTGATTGTTTTGTTACTTTTACTAGTTAAAATTATTGTAAAAAACGTCTTTTCGCTATTCAAACTGTTTATTTTCATTTTAAAACGTAAAATGCATATTACTTCAATAACATTGTTTGAGCTTTTGCACGCGCATCTTTACTTGCCATGTTTTCGGTTCGATTCGTATATTAAAATATTTCGATTGCGGTGGAATAACTTATGGTAATGAAATTACCCTTACTTAGCTAATGGTAACTTTTATATGACGAACACTGTATGTAATGCCGATCTTCGAAAGAGCGTTTCATTATTTTATAGTAAAATATATAAAGGACGAACCGTGGCAGAGTTTTTGTTTCTTTATTAAAATAGGTCAAACCCCTTGACGTAAAATGGTGCAGGCGAGGAAGCGTTCAAAGCGCTTTTTTTTTTACCACTCATACCAGTAGCTAGAGGTTATGTGGAATTTGTTAGTTGGATACCCTCGAATTTATCCTCTACTCTATATTCATAAATACAAATTAAATTTGAATAATAAAAATTTAATATTTAACAAGACTCACTTAAATTGCGGCAAAAATTAATTTCTCCATTCAAAGATTTGAAACAAAAGCAAAAATAAAATAAAAACCCCAAAAGCAATGGAATAAAATTTCTCGCACACGAGTTGTAAATATAAGTATCGTCCATTTGCATTCATGATTTTGAACTAGAAAACAACTCAAGTTCATTAACCTGAATGTGTTGCAAGTTTTGGATTTTCAAAATTTGTTGCTTTTGCTTTCGGATTTTCCATACGAGAGCGTAAATGTGCTTTGTACATTTAATTAAAGTTGTATATGTGCTCATTTACCTTTGCTCAAGGTGCTGTTACTTCTTTTCTGCATAGCCAGCAGCCTTGCAACCCCCTCCCCATGCTGCTTTGCTGTAGCAATGTAAACTAAACAGAAACTGTAATCATCGCATAATAAGATCACTTTAATGAGTTAATTGAAAGATTTATGCGCTTATTCGCATACACACTTACATGGCTATGTTGATGTGTGTGTGTTGAAGCAGGAATATACAGGTATATATTCATATATGTATAGCCCATAGGTGTGCGGCTTACAATTATACATACGTAAGTGCTCTCTCATACCAGCACCTTAAACGATTTTCATTTTATTTAAGTGTTTTGATTAAAAGCTGGCTGCAATGGTGTGAGTGTGCTAGCGGTAAACAAACTCATTAAGATACTCTTATTTTTCTTCTTTTATCGCAGTTTTGGTGTTTTGGAATGTAAAATATATGCACCTTTCCGCCTTAAAAATTTCCACGAACCTCCAATGAATGGCGAATGGCTAAGACTTGACAGTTTTACTGTCGGCTCACCCAGTTTGGTTAAGTTAGGTAACGAGGTCGATCCTAACAGGGATCTCATTTGGACAGCTTAGAACACCGGTTTGTTGCGGTACCTAAAACTCCTATATATTAGATCATAAAAGCCTTACAAATCGACAAAGCGCTTTGAACGTTTCACAAATTTACAGTCGACTTCGTCTCTTCTTAGACGAAACAAGATATCGACGAAGGCCGCCTTTGCGTGCTGGAGATTAATTTGAAGAACTTTCATTTCCAAACTCATTTCCAGCAGTGCAAGTTCCGCATCATCGTCATTAACGATCCTCTTCGAACAAGAGTTCGAGACTAATCCATTGACTGACAAAACGCCGCCCGTACTCACCGGGTTCTAAAGGATATGAGTCGATCTCCAATTTAGTTTTCAGGGATGAAAAGAGAGTTGTTGTTTCCTCGATTTTTACTTAGCCAGCTTTTGAATAGATTCCTAACTCTTCACCCTGTTTCCTAGTCATGGGTATCGTCTTAAACAAGTCAGTTGCTCTTACTGAATTTTCTTTCACGACCCAACCTTGATCTTACGAAAAAGTACGATGGCTCTAGCTTCCTGTCTACAAGTCGCTTCGTCGACTGTCTTCTAAATTATGCCAATTTTTATAGCCTTTCCTTGTCTTCTTCTTCTTCACCTTTTCTTTTGCATTCGCAATATAAAGCTTGCTTTTACAAACGAATATGAAACCTGCATCCACGTTTATATCAAATTCCGGCAACATAATATATTTAGAATTCTACTACTAATTAAGGATGATTGTGGTCAGCAAAAAAAAATTTGTATGTAAACTTTTTAGACAAGGTCAATTATTAACTGATCTGATATACTAGAGTTGCCATCATATTTTTTAAAAGTTCATAAAAATAGTTTGTATGATGACGGCGCGTATTTATATTCAATACTTTTGTGTTTCGTAAGCTGTTGCGAAAAATAATGGTTTGAAATTAATTTCTAAAGCGATTGCAAGTTTAGGTCATCATTTTCTGTGGTCATTAATGTCGTCAGTCATTAGCCATTTGCTTTTACCCTTGAATATATAGGTAGCGATTTTGAAATGCTATATATATATAAGCCAGCTTTTCTATTGGTTTCGGACATCTCAATATCCTTGTACTTATACTATGTAATCTATGCGCAATTTTTTCTACAATCTCTTACAGCTTGAGGTATCCTTAATCTTAATTCATACTCACAGGATAGTTTTATATCTCTTCTATCAAAAATGAAACGCGGTAAAAC